TTATTATTATTCGATAACCGAGCTTGTTAAAGCTGACGTCCCGGTAACGCCACTACGGTGTGACGCAACGAGTATAACATGTATCTGTCTGTGCAGAGTAAACGTGTGGTCGCGATTTCTGCTGAATAATTGCCACTCGATGAACCATGTCGCCACTGAAAAATGTAATCCACAAGTATAATATAACAGCTATTTAAGTTACAGGCAGGGCCCGGAGTTGTTCCTTGAAAAACTCTAAATACTCAATTGTTTTATGTATAACTTATTTTTAAGTTAACTTTTGGAAGAGATTTATATTAAAATATAAATACACAAACTAAAAAACAGTAAAATTCCAACGCCCCAAATTACCATAAAAGCTTCCATCAATATGTTTACGTACAATTATATAACCGACGTTTTAGTTAAATTATACACATAACTGATTATTATAAAAGAATTATAATATGTTAAAAGTTTGTTTTAATATTAAAGTTATATTTAACTAATATACTTTCCCTGGGGCGACTTAAAATAAAAATGACAAATAGCCCCAGAATGAGCCCAAAGCTAATATTTTAATTAAATCATAACTACATTAAGTACGTAGAGCTTGTTAACTTTTAATATTTTTCATTTTCACATTTGGTACTAATGTTTGAAACAGATTAAGCTCGACGGAATGACGATTAATCATTTAATTTAGAACTTTTTTTGGAATTATTATCATCAAGTACATTTATTATATGCGCAGCCAGCAGCACGTGCAACCTTACCAGAAACCCTGCGTTAAATTCCTGAAATCAGTGGTTTAAATAACATTTCACTAGTTCCTGAAAAATTAATCCATATTATTTATAATGCCTACTTGTTTACTTTAAGCTCTTTTTTGTATTTATGACATTTATATAAACGTATATGGTTTTGAGTTTAACGAAAACTATGTTTTCGATAACGTTTTAAATTGATGTTTAGCATACATTACATTTTTTTTTTTTTTAAATCAACCAGGATGACGAGGTCTATTTTGGCATTTGTGTAAAAAAGACTATCGTCTGTGAAGCGGAAGAAAGTTTCCACGAACATGGTAATACACCATTATTGTTATTTTTGAAAATAGAGAATACTAAATCCGTCGACTTTTCAATATTATAATAATGTACGACGAGCGGGCGGGTTTTATTTTCTCGTTCGGGACGAACCCTCTTTGTTTTTCCACGGGATTAATATTCATCGGTAAGGGTTTTCTTCTTTAAGCGGGCGTGTGCGCGTTTTAGAGAATATATGAACGCGTTTTTCTTTTGTTGTTCTACATCGGTGCGTTATCCACCGTAATAACTTCCCTACGATCCAATAACGTCTGGACGGAACGTATAAAATGTAGATAGAAAATACATATCTGGAGTTGCAAACAGAAACGGTATCTATAGAGCACTCAAAATGACGAACGAAATTTGGTCACGAAATCTTGCTCGAGATAAGCACCTTTACTTTAAGCATAGCATGTACACAATACACATGCCACATAAATATTAATAAAGATTACAGGTACATTGTACCTGTTACAAAGTTTAGCTAGTACACAGAACAGATTCATTAGTCTACTCTGCGGCTGATGCACAGTTGGTATGAATACATGTAGCTTAACAGGCCACGAAGGCCCAACGCTGCCACCATGAGATGGTTTAATACGACTATAGTTGTCAAACTTTTAGCATTATCCTATATGGTGATACTTCATACATCCAACGACTGTCTGTCACTTCGACTTATACTAGTAGACTTTTTTTTTTAAATATCTGTCCCGTTGATTGTTCAACACGTTATCTCTAGTCGGCAACCGGTAAGACACATTAGAAATTAAGTAAAGTACAATTATTTATGGGTAATCGTTACAATAAACAACATGTGAAGTCTATGTCGTCATCAATGCACTGCAAAGAGGGTTAATCGTGAACGTTCGCAATAATGCGATAACGAAGTGCGTTTTACAAAACATACACTCGAAACGCAATGCGCTTTAGTCACGCGACTTATGTACTTTTAAACGGGTCATCGTTTAAACTGTAATAATAATTTATTTGCAGATATACGATCATAAAAAAATTATGAACTATATTTGCATCAATTTATCGCGTTACAACATTGATTTTCAACAGTTACTGAAAGTGTAGTGTATAAATAAAAACAAAAAAACATAAATATAAAAATATACTATGTAAACTACAATATGTATCATAATGACACGTCTTGTCAATAGTATATTCTTTTTTATGTAAAAGGTATATAAATAATACATGGTGTATTTCTTCAGAGATCAATGTGTACTTCACGAGTTCTAGTTAATTAAGTTATTAAACAATTCGTTTGCTAGTATTTTAACGACGGCAAAATCATATTCCTTAAAAAATAACCGTGAACCGTGTAATAGATTTCCACAAGCATTTTCAAAATAATTCGACACTAAGACAGTTAAATTGCGATTTTTATTTGACTTTTTCCCACTACTAAAATGGTTAACTTAATGTTAAGTTCACGGAAAAGTAAATAAAAGTATTATACCGGATTTCGAAATAATTTATCGTGCTGTATGCTCAAACATAGAACTAACAATTTAATATCCACTAGACTCAGCTGCGAGTCCTGCTAGCTGATACGAGAAATGACTCCATATTCCAACTCCGGGTGTTATTGGTGTATTGTATTATTATGTGTAGCCGATTTCTACGCGGTATATATGGATATAAGCCCAAAGTATAGACTTATGAATCTACCGTCGTCGGTTCGTAGTCGTATCTTTTTATTGTTATGAAATTTTTATGCCCGGAGAATCTAATCCGGAGATTGGAAACGATGCAACGATTCTCTTTTACGATTCCGTGGATCGTAAAAATTCATAAGCTCTCCCTTTCACGCCCCTCTCGCACCGTCTTTCACATTCCATTTTCTTCGGTTTTTTTTTTCTTCTTGTATTTATGACGTTAAACGATAATGTTTTATGAAACTCGTCGCCGTCTTCCGCTCGCGTTCGTTTCGGACGAAACTATTGGGTTTTCCAAGTGGACGCTACCGGAGGTGCACGAGGTTCTTATCAAATATTAAGAAGCTCAAGTACACACGCAAACCGGAACTAGAATTCACATCGGTATGCGTATCCGCGTACGACCGGCGTATTATAAAACCAATAGTTTACAACATCCTAATGTGAGCCCTTGAAATATAATACCAAACTGACAGTAAAACCAACGCTTTTACCATATGACTCGGCAGCATTGCGCACTTTATTAGCGAGCGCGCCATTCGACTAGACCGCCTTTGTGCGCAAAACTCGTTAATACCAAAAATACAAAACCACACTGCTTTTGAATAGCAAATTTTCAATTTGCAGCATTAATAATAATGTCTGATAACGTTTCTTTAATTAATTTATCTCCCTCATTTCCTTTAGAGCTATGTTCATAGCAGCCATTTTTCTATCATCATATCGAAAGTTAAGAATGTCTTCTAGAGCGATGTCTTTCTCTCGCCGCTTCTACGTCTGATCGTTCTATTAGGTGCTTCAAAAATGGATCGAGCTTTCCAGGAACAATTTATACAAAAGGAGGGCCTATTAAGGACCAATGGATAAAACTGAATTGATGATCCGCCAAATACCTCAATGCATGAATACCCGTAAACTATATTTAGTGGAGATAAGAAACTATGGTTCCCTTTAGTTTCGTCTGCTTGTGCTATTTTTTTTTTAAATCGTATTCGGTCGCTAATTTATCCATTGCTGCGTTTATTTACAAAATTTCTACAATTAAAACCTTCAGTACGATACGAAACGGACATCTAACCGGTATATTAGAGTTATAAGCTCGAATGACCCAACGTTTTTAATCAGCGTCAATATGTTCGGTAGAATAAATTTAAACATTTTCCAGGTCAACGCTCGGTGTGAACTAGCGCAGTCTCTAGTGAATATTTTTGGTGTCCAGTTACTAGTTAACGGATAGAATAATCAATGTACGTTGGGCCTATTTTGTTTTGACAATTTTTCTACAATGTTTTTTTAGCGGTACTGTTACCAGTTGCTCGGGAAACGGTCCCACCTAAGTCTCAACAAAACCGTATTAATATCGTCAAACGGTACACACGGTATGCAAAAATGGCCATAGTCGTTGTTTCGTGTTGGTCAGATCACAGCGATACGGCGTCGACGACAACCCTAACAACACGTGTGGGATGACCTACAGGCGTGTCGTGTACGCCGTCACATTCGGTATAATAACGCAGACGAGTAATATATTTTGTTATTTAAGTCCTTCGGCGATAGCACTTGACGCCGTTTACCGTACTTAGAATGCACGCCCGTCGGCCATCTAAATCCACGAGGCACCAATAATAATTATTAACATTATTCCAAATGCTATTAACGTTTCAACGATTAGCCGGCCAAAGAAATTTACTACGTATATGTATAGATTCAATTAACATGACAGTATATATATATATATTTTAAATATTATTATCATCATTTAATAAGTTGATAAGTTGGTCGGATGCAACTTCTGCAGCGAACATTGGGAATATATTTAATTAACGACCACGGAACGAGTTCTAATCTGGTCGGCGCGGTGCAAACGTGAAAGTCAATTCCACAGTAAATTACTTATGTATATAAAATACCGATAATGCATATCCTATATATATATATATATATATATATGTTTAATATATGCTTAAATGCTTAATGTCCGATTTAATAGCGATAAATAATTATAATCTGTACACAAATACTTATGTCAAAAACTGACTGAAATAAATATCCCTAATACTTCTTTAGTCGAAAACATTAATAATTATAGACTAGGCGTTTCGTTATAAAGAAATATTATTTTTCCTTTGATCAAACAACGTAAAATACATAAATTATTTCCTGATTAACCCCAAAAACAAAATCGTTGTTTTTTATTTTCTAACTTTTATTAAAGCAATAACGGTGTATATTATATTATATTTTTTCAGTGTTGATTTCCGAATTCATAATGGGCTTGTGGGCCGGTTGGCCTTCTTGGGCATTAGTCAAGCGTGACGCTGGCAGCGACACGCCGGGCGAGTGGATTAGCCGGTCAGATCATTCGTGGGCCGTAGCGTCATTTGATTTGGCCAACATGTTGTCCGCCGCTCCGGTCGGCTGCATGGCCGATCATCTGGGCCGCAAAGGTAGTTTGCTGACGTTGGGCGGTTTGTTGGTATTTTCTTTCGGCGTACTCTACGTTCCTCTAGGACCCTACGCCGTGTTCACCGGTCGGTTTTTAGCCGGCGTTTGCAGGTCCGTCGTTTACGTTACGTTACCAGGTTACATCGCCGAGATAACGAGCAAGCACGTACGCGGCCGATTAACCGTGACGTTGTCCGCATTTGACGCGTTGGGCATGCTGGTTTCCATGTCGGTCGGTCCGCGAATCAGCTATGCGACGGCCAACGCGGCCAGTGTAGTGTTAAGCGCGATTTATTTACTGGCCATTGTGCGCGTGCCCGAGACGCCGTACTACTTGCTGTCCAAGAACCGCCCGGAGAAAGCCCGTAAAGCGTTGGCCTGGTACAGGGGAAGACAGGACGTGCATCACGAACTGGACCGGATGACCGCCAGCGTGTTGGAAGACATGAAGGAACCGGCCACGTACCATGAGCTTTTTGACGACAGCGGCAACAGGACGGCACTGTTTCTAGTGGTCGCTGCTTGTTTTGCACAACGAGCCGGCGGCATCAGTTGCATCGTTGCTTACTCGACCACTACTTTGCCGGAGAACAGCCTGGTACGACCGGAAAACGTGGCGGCCGTCGTCGCTGCCGTTCGTCTCATGTTCACATTGATCGCCGCTCCCATGATCGACAAGTTCGGCCGCCGACCGCTTTTGATCAATTCACACGCCGCACTGGCCGTCATTACACTGGTCTACGGATCTTACTTGTTCGCGGACGCTGATGGTCGTGACACCGGGTACAACTGGATACCGTCGGTTTGCGTGGTACTATTCTCGGTGGCGTATTCGATGGGGTCAGGCGTCGTGGTCGGAACGCTGATCGGTGAAATGTTTCCGGCTAACGTTAAGTCCAAAGCAGTAGCCGTAGTGGCCATCGTCTCATCGCTAGGCTCATTTTTCACTAACAAAATGTACTTGCCCGTGGCTGACTTGTTCGGCGTATATTACATGTACTTTCTGTTCACTGTGATTAACGCGGTATGGGCCACTTGTGCCTACATATTTCTGTTCGAAACCAAAAACATGACGCTTTCGGACATCCAAGATAGGCTGGACGAATTCAACAGCGACTCTAGCGAATCCACAGACAGGCCTAAACGTTAAACGCCTACAGTGATAGACAAAATGTAAACAATTGACTAAGCATACATTTATCACAGTTTATAACAGCTGTGACTATGCTATACTATCACTATGCGGCATCTACATTGTGATCATTTTTGGTTTTAAAATAATTATTATAATATATGTGATTTATAAATTACATTTCAGTTAACATCACTTAATTATTTAGATTGGTTCCAATTGCAATGTTTAGTAAATTATTCGTAATTTAGAAAATTAATAAAATAAATACGTTACCGTTTTAGTTTCAAAAGTTTATAGAGCTCTGCAATTAATCGAAAAATATAAAAATTTGAATATTGTGTGATATTCTAAAAAACATAAACTAAATGTCTCCCCCCCCCCAAAAAAAATAACTACAATATTTGAATTATTTTTATTTAAAAAAAAAAATAGTGTGGTACGCTAAATGGATCACCCCGTATTTTAGTTTAAGTGACCCCCTAAGGGACATCGCTGCCAACTTCAAGAAGGAAGTTACTAAATGCATTCGTTTCCAAGACGGGTTGTTAGTTTGTTACCAGTAAAGAATATTGCGACTTTTACATTGAATCTCAATAAAAATCTTAATAATGCAATATGTTAGTCAATTCAACGTTGGTTCAATAGAAAAGTTGGCTCTGCAATGTCTATTACCTCTATTTTAACCCGATAAATATGGCTGTTACATCAATTTATTTACTTATTTATTGACGTAATTACAGTTCTAAAGAAAATTATGTACACATTATAATAATAGATCATTTTCAAACTAAACCGTTGGATATATTTTCCGTTTTTTTTTTTTAATATTTTAATTCTACTGTTTATACTATAAACGCATTTTGTATTAAATGGTGTCGGTTTCAGTGTATCAGATAAAGGCGTAGTGAAATATAACACCAACGAATATTATCGACGAATAATGAGCGGATATTATTGTAGCGATAAACCAAAATAGCGTGTTCCATTGCTATGTGCACCAACAGTTTACAGTGTGTATAATAATATCTTGTACCTGATTTATCGACTACCCGAGCGTGTACTTCTAGAGCAAGTTCAGATATCTGTTAAGATTATCTTGGCCGTCGAACTCTTTAAACAAAAACTTGTTGGATTTTCAAGAACAGTATCTCGAGAAAAAACCTGTGCGCCTTATTAGCATACCTAGCAAGTAAGATCTATACCACGGAAAAACATTATATTGCCAAAAGCTACTCGGTTGAAATGCATATCGGACAAAACATGTAATGGCGACTGAATTTCTCTCGAAACTGTAAAATAATAAATGTTGATATTATGTTTTTTAGTATTTAGTGCACTAAGAACATAGAGTGTATAAAAATAAATGACAAAAGATAGTAATTGATTAAAAAAGTGTAATGTTTATTACAGAAAGTGGCGACAAAAAATTAATCTCTGCTATTTCAATATCCATAACTGAAAAATTATGTAAATTTACATTAATGTATTGCAAGCGAAAATTTTTACCATAAGCTGCTAAATATTCAGAAGATTTAAAATTACTCTAAAACACATGCGGTCGAATCAGTCAATTTACATTACTGATTACAGTGCAATAAATTCAGTAACTTGGAAGTTCAGACTCAACCATTCTGTACTGAGTTCTGTGTTTATATAATATTTTTTTGACGAGTACTTGATTATGTTTTACCGCGCAAGAAGACCAAAAGTCGGAAAAGGCGCTGTTCCAAAAAATCCAGATTTGTTTTGAAAGAGCTGTTGTTTTAACTTTTTTTTTGCCCGTATTACCATCAGCGTTGACTGCAGCTGGTGCCGTTCGTGTACCGCACAGTGACGTACCGACTGGGAAAAAAACATAAACAGATAGGTTTAACGATACGATTATGTGGACACGATATTTGCATAAAACCGAAATAATAAAAAAACGACGGGACAAGACAATGGTAAAGCCGCTTTGTATTCGGCGGCGGTAAACAAACGAGTTTTTGGAGACGTGTAAATCAAATACCGAAAGGTCGAAGACCGCCACGTATATATTATTTAACGTTATCCCAGCATAATAATATTATTATTTGGACGCCATCGCTAGAATTAATATAACAATTTATGTATATAACTCTCAATAATATATGTATTGTATAATATAATATTACCTCATAATTATTATATCGTGTCAAAGTGTAGATTGAATAGATTATCTTTAATTTTGTATAGATGACTAAAACTGTGCACTTCTTCGCTGAAATAGATTTGATCAGGTATGTTTCATAGACAAATAATAATTAGTATAATATGGTACCATAAAGGAAAATAATGGGAATTTAAGCGTTAACTGATTATTTTTTTTTTTTTGTTACTCACGGTTTCAGTATTAAAGCCTTGTCAATGAGTTGGACGAAATCGGTAAGTAGTCTATGAAATTTACTGAGTGTGATTTAAATTTATGTGCACCACCTAACGCGCCGGTGTTAAAGTTATTGCGGACAAACCTGACTTAACTACAAGTTTAACACGTCGTGCATTAGAAACCTCAGCGGGAGCCAAACGCTTCCAGTGTGTATAGCATTTACACGATCACCTCCTGCCTTGAAATACAATACATGTAGGTATACAGTATGGCCCAGAGTACGATTTTTGCCTTTATAGTAATTAAAGTAAATTATATTTTATGTTATTACTTATTAAAAGTATACAAATATACTGCCAATTTTAAAAACAGGTTTTTTTTTTTAAAGTACCTTAAATTGTTTTTATATAGTAAATTCTCACCAAACAGAATGGTTCAAATCAGTTTTAACTTCATCCAAACCAGAATACTTGAGAGTCGAGTACTGGTGCACGTATTCTGAGACATACTCTATATTAAAGAAAAGTAGTGTTTTTCTTGAAAAAAATTAGTTTGGTAGTATTCATATGATGACAGCCATCTAATGTTACCAAGAGATATGAGGCCACATTTTCAATATTTTATGTTACTGTTTTGTTCTTTTATTTTTATTAAAAAGCAAACTACAAGTTTTAACGAAAAAACTATTCATTTTAAACAAAAACATGGTGAAGACGGGATACATCATAATGATTTCAATCGTATCTGAATGAAGAAGTTTAAATAAGAAAATGTGGCGTTTGTTCAACTCGTGCAAACCTGTGTGTTTTTTCCGAACACGAGTAACTTGGTTTTCGTAAGTATGTTTGGAAAAGTTTAATATAATATTGTATTGTCCTGTCACGGTTTTCGGTATTTCTGCTTGTCATATAATCAGATTGAAAAAACAAATAATAATATACTAAACAATCGACAACAAAAGTGAAAGGGTCTTATTGTGTTTATAAGAGTAGAAGTGAAAAAGTTGTTTTGAATGACGCAGGTACCTATCTGTCAAACGTAACGAGCACAATAGCACCTATAACCTTAAGGTTTTATGAGCCCTATTCGCTTTTTATTGAACCTGGGAAAATTATTGTTACTACATAACGTTCATTATCATATTTTTCATTTCCAAGAATAACCTATATAATATCTTAACATTTTTCTAGTGTTGTAATATTAATTACTAAGACAATGAAAATATCCTCGAGTTATTTATTTAATATACGTATTAACAATAAGCTTGTTTGATGTTTGCGCGTTGTTTTCTTCCATTAAAATATTCAAAATCTCCTTTGAGCCGTTTTATAAACTAACAAAAAGAAAAATTCACATCGGAAAATATATTTTTTAAATTAAGCTTGTTTGGTAATACATACCAAAATAATAACTATTATGTAATAACTTTTATATTTATAAAATATGATAACATTAACGATATTAGTTACATAGCTAGTAAAAAAAGAATGTTTTTTATGTAACAACCATAAAATATTTAACACAATTTTTAATTATTTCATACCCATATTATGAAAGTTTTATTCAAATATAACTAAATATCACAGTTGGATTACACAAAAATTAATTTTTGTGTAATAACGTATACGATTTTTGTTCCAGGGTAATTTCCGAGTGGAATTTCCCAAAAATGGCCAGCGAATTTGTAGATGCATTCAATTTGATATTTACTAGATTGATCTTTGTCTTTGGAACAAGGATGATGATAGTTGTGCATTTGTCTTAAACAAGCGTGACATCAGATTTTGAAATCTAATTATTCACAAAATGGACTTTTTACGATTTCTATGTCCATTTAATAGACCATTGCGTGATTGTTACTAAACTGGGGTTTTTATAAGCAATAAATTATTGTGCAACCCAGCATTACGCTGTAATATTTAAATTACATTTCTGTATCTAAGGACTGTGAGATTGAAGAATCCAGTTTATTATGATAAAAATTGAGTCAATGATATAGTGTCTTATATAAAAGAGTTTTTTGTTTTAGTCTCTTACTTTACCGAAAATATCCAAAAGGCAAAAACGAATATAGACTCTCTGTTTCTCAAAAAGAGATTTTTGAACCAACCCCCAAATATAGTTACCTACTTTATGTAGTACTTGATTAGTGTAATATCTTCAATCCGTAAAAAACTGTCGAAATTCCGATAAAAACATTATCCCTTATTTTCCAAGTACGCTCACGTATTCTCTTTGAATTTAACTTATCAAAGTATGTAATTTATAGGAAGTACTTCTTAAAATGTTATCATTTGTTATTGAGTAAAAATTTGAATCACACCAAACAACTATTTTTAGGCTCTTTTTAGATATCGTGACCCTTTTGAAAAGTATTCTAGATTCCTTATAAAAACTATTACTTTGTAATCATTTTATGTTTAAGGACAAGCTTTACCAATGACCGATTTTACTACCGTAGCAATTACTCTTGTAAAAAATCTCTCATAATCTAATGTAAATACTTAACTAAAATTGGTTTAAAATCAATATAATGCGTATCTAATGCTTGAAGTACCTACTTATCTTTAACGAATATCACTAATGATTACTTACTCACAAGCGAATGTAAAATATTATAAAGTAAAACTAAAAGAATATCATCACTATTTATTTTTCCATGTTACAT